CAGTGGGTAGACAGAGTTAGAAGGAAAAGATCTTTGCTCCCCAGGGGGTGGTGCCTGCAGAAAGGGCCTGGGGCATGTCCAGCACATCAAGGAGTCCTCCATAGGGCCAGAGGCAGTGCTGGATGAGGGGACAGGAGAGGACTATGTGGGGAGGTGGAACAAGAGCCTTTAAAGTAGAAGAGGTTGGAAATACCCACAGTTCCAGAAGAGCAGGAGAGAGGGAGTTTTTTTGAGGGCTGGGTGAAAATGTAACTGGAGACTCTGAAATTTTTTGGAAAGATGGGAACAAAGTTTTCAGGTCCTCTTTGGGCTGTGCTTCTTCAAAATGAGTTCTTCTCCCAGTCCTGAGCTGTCTGGATCCTTGCCTTACACTAGAACTTTGAGCCTATTTTATAGATGAGGAATTGGAGGCTCAGATGGTTCAGAAACTTGCCTGAGGTCCTAAGCTTCTTTATAAAAGAAACATAATTGTGTCCTAGCTCTGTGTGACTCCAAGCACATAACTTGCTAGGTCTTTGGGTGAAATCCCTCAACCAAATTTTATAGCCAAGCAGCACAGGATGGAGCTCCCTTTTTCTTGTGGATGTATCCAACTTCTATTTTACTATGCTTAATGACTGAGTGATGAGATGGCTGAAAAGAAGGAAGGAGGAGTGGTTGGATAAATGGATTCATGAGTAGATGAAGTGACTTAAGTCTTGTGATTTGAAAACAGTCTATGAGTTAAAAGGGCTTCAGGCTATATTTTTTATCAGATGTATAGACAAATTTTTTATTGAGTACTGACCATAAACAGGGAGTAAAAAGAAACAGACAAAATGCAATCCGTCTCAGAGAGGCAGGTTTAGCAGTGCAGGAAAAGCAAGAATTTGAGTAACCATAATAAGCTGTAAAGTGAGAGATTCTTTAGTAAATTTCCAGACCCTAACATGTGGATGTTCAAAGAAATTAGGGGCAGGGAAGGATACGTTCTGAGTGGACTCAGGGATTTTCACTTGAATCTCAAAGAATGGGCAGGATTGATCAAAGGGAAGGTCAGATGGTTGGAGGAAGGGGTGAAAATTTCAGACAAGGAGAACAGCATGAGCAAACACATGGAGGTAGGGATATTTAGGATACATTTGGCCTGGCGCAGGTGAAATCATGTTTGTGGGTAGAGATATTAGAAGGTAGGACTGGAAGGATAATTAGGGGTGTGGAATCTGAGACTCTGGATTTAAGATCCTGGTTAATGGGAAGGCATCAAAGATTTTGAAGTAGAGTAAATGACCTGGCGCGCACATGCGGAAGAGTTTGAAAGTGAGGCAGCATGAGCAGTTCCAGCTGGGCCCTGGAATCAGACACTTAGGCTGGAGTGGTTCCATCCCAGATGTGTGACCATTAGCTAGTCATTTGATCTTTCTGAGCCTCCATCTCCCTAACTCTAAGGTGGAGAATATTAATAATGCCTGTCTCATAGGGTCATGAGGATTAAATGAAATGGAGTGTATAGTGTTTAGCTCAGTCCCAGGCATATAGTAAATATTAAATAAATATCAGCATTCTGTTATCATCCCACCACCAGCACCAGCACAACCTCCACCACCAACACTAGGACCAGCACTACCTCCACTACCAACACCAGAACCACCTCCACCATCAGCACTAGCACCATCTCTACCACCAACACAAGCACTACCTCCACCAGCAACACCAGGACCAGCACCATCTCCACCACCAACACCAGTACCACCAGCACCAACACCAGAACAACCTCCACCAGCAATACCAGCACAACCTCTACCAGCAACACCAGGACCAGCACCACCTCCACTACCAGCAACAGCAGCAGCAGCAGCACCACCACCACCACCACCACCACAAATCATGAGCAACAGCACCACCTCTACCACCAACACCAAGACCAGCATCACCACCACAAGCACCAGCATCACCTCCTATACCAACAGCAGCGGCACCACCAACAGCAGAAGCAACACCAGTACCTCCACTATCAGCACACCACCACCTCCACCATAAGTACCAGGACCACCAGCAGTAACACCAGTACCACCTCCACCACTAGCAGCAGCACTAGTACCAGCACGACCACCGGTACCACCAGCAAAAACCAGCATCACCAGAGGCAACAGCAGCAACATCACTACTACCACTGTTTTCTGAAAATCATCATCAACATCACACCTTTCCCATTGTCATTGTCACCTCACTCCAAGCATAAAGGTTTACGTGGCTTACTCACCAACTTGGAAACGCAGCCACTTATTCCAAACACATTTGTCAAGCACTATGGTGCTGAATGTCTTCTATTTGCCCCTCAGACTCACTCCCCACACTTTCCTTCTTGCTCTGGCAAAGCCATCCTGCAGGGGCAACATTAATAAACTGCCTTGCCCCTGTCCTCTGGCTGGGTTCCACTGAATGGGCAGTCCCTGGAGGAGAGTGGAGACAGGAGGGAAAGATCAGGTATTGTTATTTAGTTTTCTCCCTGCATGTCACCATGGCCTGGCTGCATCCTTGGATGTGTCTCAGCAACTTCCAGGTGCTCTTTACACACTATCCTCCCTGCCTCGTTTCCAGATATGGTGGCCTTCCCAGGTACAGGCTCCTGCACTGTCCCCTGTGGTATCTCTATACCCTGCTGACACTTTGTGAACAGTCCCTATCCCAGTATCTTCTGATTGTTCTGATTTGAATGTCCTCTCTGTGTTCTGCTGAGCTCTGGTTGATAGAACCCTTATATTTCAATCCCAGGGGTGGACCTAAGGCTACAAAGGTAAGAAAGAAATAAACGGCCACCTCACCCCCTTAAAGCTGTCCTTATCTCATGGGGAAACAGAAATGCAACAAAAAACTAAAACACAAATTCCCAAATGCCACAATAGAAGTAGGTGCTCTGAGTTGCAACACCATGGAAGGAATAGCAGGGCTGAGTTTGAGTGAGAGTCATGGCAGAAAGTGACACTCTGAGTCTTGGGGAGTGAATACAAATTCCCTGCGAGGACAAAGTGGGAAAAAAATGTCCCCCAGAAAACATCATTTTTAAATGCATGAAAATACCAAAGTTTACAAAAGAAAGGTAAGTTGCTCAGAGCCTGGACCCATGTTGGATATGAGATTTGCAGGAAACAAGACTAAAGCAACTTAGGAATTTACCAGTGTCGAGTTGCTCCCTTTTTTTTTTTATTCTGCTAATCAAAGACATTTTTTTTTAAAGTTGCCTTCTTCTATCAATCACCACCAGAATATAATCTTGGAATAAAGGAAAGTCTTCTGCATCAAATAAATTTAGCCTTATGTATGTAAGCACTCCCTGTCCTCATTTTTCTCATTTTGCAGTGGTCACTGTTCAGTGGATCCTTGGGATGACATTTGGAAACCACTGCTCTCATCTCATCTTCTTATTCTACCCACAAAGAGGCCATGTCTTAAAAAGATAAATACAATTTTAAAACATGACCAATTCTCTTAGGTGTTTATTGTCAGTCATGTGACTGTTCCCCACAACCAGACCCCTGACCAGCTCCAGGTTCTGTCAGGCACTGGGGCTCAACCAACACTTGATCCTAATACTATGGGGGAAAAGCACCAAAGTTCTGGATTATTTTCTCTGTAAGTCATTTGATAATATTTTCTGCTTCTAATGACTGTTATGACAAGCAGCAAATTGCTAATTGCAGCCATCTAAGAATAGATATATTTGCAGGATTAATGACCAAAAAAAGTTAGATTTAAGGAATAGTACCAGTTGGCAACCATTCATGCATTTATAGTTGGTTGTATTTGTCTCTAGGGAGGGAAGAAGAGGCAAAGGACTGCTGAGGTGGAGAAGGTCTGAGTAAATCAGTTTCTCTTCCTCATTTTTTATGTTAGATGTGATATGAGTCCTTTCATCTACCTAGATAACACAAGGGTATACAGAGACCAAGCCTGAATCAAGTAACCACCATTGAGTTATATCTTACATGGCAGGCAGGTGCTAAATTCATCACAGAAGGTGAAAATTACTGTAAAAATGACTTTTGAAAACTTACAGTAGTTGTTGGAATCAATTCTGTAAAGCACCACAATTGTTAGTTTGTGTTCAGAAGTCACTTTGTATAAAAAATACAAAGATTCAAATGCAATGGTCACTCAGCTCAGTGAAGAGCTCATGCTGAGAGAGGCACAAGCAGAACTTGGAACGATGGAAGGAGTGGAGAGTTGGATATTATCCGTGCTTACACTGAGGCCTGTCCACGCCAAGTGGGGTTGCAGGCAGAATTGCTCACTCTGTTTATGCTGCTGTCCTTCTCCACCTCTCTCTCTTCCCCAAATGAGTTATGTGCCCATCTGCAGCAACACTCTTTGTTTACCCAAAGCCAAAGAAGAGTGGTTTTTTTTTCTTCTTCTTCTCCAGAGAGAACTGCTTTGATGGGGAGGCAAAGTAATGTGATTTGGGGCCAGAAAGACCCTTAATCTTCTTGCCTTCCCAGGGATGAGGCCTCAACCAAAAGTGGCCTCAGGTCAGGAGAAGTCCAGCTGTTAGGCCTGCAGGACAATAGACTGCCTCACCACCCACCCAGGCCAACATAGGTGTAGAACCTGGGAGAAAAAATCTAACCCATGTTGTTCTTGAAAACTGAAACCTGTGATGTGGCTGCATGTTTGAAAGTTATCACAAAGTTTTTTTGTTTTTTGTTTTTTGTTTTCTTGAAATAAATTCATCTTTGAAGATTTGCCTGGAAGGGCAGGACACTTCTTTAAGAGCCAGAAGACTCAGGTTCAAGCCCAGATCTGCTCAATGTCAATACTATAATCTTGGATAAGCCCGCCTTGCTTGGAGCCACAGTATTTTGCTGACTTATTGCCTTAGGCAGGGAGCTTTCTCTTATATTACCCAACTCCAACCACTGTGAACTTTTCTGGAAAGTTCTCAGTAATTAGTAGAAGCTAAATTCCAGGCCCTGACTTTTACCTAGAGTATGGTGTGAGCTTCAAGAATGCTTACAATAGGGTGTGATTCCGTCCTGCGTGGCTTTTCTGTGAACAGTAGTCGTTTATCTCCGTCCGCCTTCTCTCCCACCTAAGTGCGAGCCACCACCCCATGGAAGATTCGATGGATATGGACATGAGCCCCCTGAGGCCCCAGAACTATCTTTTCGGTTGTGAACTAAAGGCTGACAAGGATTATCACTTTAAGGTGGATAATGATGAAAATGAACACCAGATATCTTTAAGAACGGTCAGTTTAGGAGCTGGTGCAAAGGATGAATTGCACATTGTTGAAGCAGAGGCAATGAATTACGAAGGCAGTCCAATTAAAGTCACACTGGCAACTTTGAAAATGTCTGTACAGCCAACGGTTTCCCTTGGGGGCTTTGAAATAACACCACCTGTGGTCTTACGGTTGAAATGTGGTTCAGGGCCTGCGCATATTAGTGGACAGCACTTAGTAGCTGTAGAGGAAGATGCAGAGTCAGAAGATGAAGAGGAAGAGGACGTGAAACTCCTTAGCATATCTGGAAAGCGTTCTGCCCCTGGAAGTGGTAGCAAGATTCCTCAGAAAAAAGTAAAACTTGCTGCTGATGAAGATGATGATGAAGATGACGATGATGACGATGATGACGAAGATGATGATGATGATGATTTTGATGATGAGGAAGCGGAAGAAAAGTCTCCAGTAAAGAAATCTATACGAGATACTCCAGCCAAAAATGCACAGAAATCGAACCAGAATGGAAAAGACTCAAAACCATCAACACCAAGAACAAAAGGTCAAGAATCTTTCAAAAAACAGGAAAAGACTCCCAAGACACTGAAAGGACCTAGTTCTGTAGAAGACATTAAAGCAAAAATGCAAGCAAGTATAGAAAAAGCGAATTGAACAGTCCTGGGCACTACTGGTAAATTAAGCCCAAAGCTGGGGAGAGAGGAAAAGGAGAGACAAATATAGTCCATACGGACTGTCATCAACAATCCAGACTGAAGTTTCAAATTCCCTTTCCTGATTTGCCACCTACCCACACCCCCTTCCAGGCTGGAAGCAATCTCATTCTTGATCTCCTAAAGCACTTTTCTTTTGACTGCTGTGATTTCAGTGACCCCTTACACTTGGCTTTCTATGATGTGTGCAATTGCCTCACTTATTGATGATGTTTCAGTCACTTCTGTATCTCCCTAGCTGCTCAATAAATATTTTAATGAATCAAAAAAAAAAAAAAGAATGCTTACAATAAAAGCACATAGAGATAGGAGGATAAACATCATGACCACATGGGGTCATTGCTGAGACTTTGGAACCCCAAAGGTCCCTCATAGGGACCAGAGATTAAATCATTATAGAGTTTTCCAAAAGTGAGGTTTGTAAGTAGTGGTTTTGCTTACCTACCTTACAAATAAGACCATGTGGAAAATTACACACTCATTCTCCCCTTCTATAGCCACTGCATAGACAAAGCCTATGACTTGGACTTGGAGAACAGCCCTTGAATCACTGTCCCTCCTCCAAGAAACCTTTCTTCCGTCATTCAGGCTGGTCTCTGTTTTTTTTGCAAAATTTTTAGACTATTTATATCCAAGTTTGCATGAACCAACTCTCATGGCTGAGTCTCACTTCTCAGTGTGGACTTGTTTCACAGGTGCCCACAAAGTCCCAGGCCCTGATTTAAGGGCTAAAAAGACAAAAACAAAAAGGTGCGTCCTCCTCATTCCAGACTTACTGGCTTATTCACTGTGCCTCTGAAATCCCAGGCAGGCCTCTGCCTTGAGGTCTTGACAACTCTTTCCAAAACACTCTCCTAGAGATATCTGCCTGGCTCCTACCTCACCACTTTCATGTCCTCTTTGTCTAGTAAGATCAGCAAACCTTATGAAATTTTAACTTGCCCTAGTCAAATATCTTGCTCTCCAGCTCAGTGCTGACCTTGAAAAATCACAGTGCACACTCCCAGTACAGCCTGGCAGTCATGGAAGAAAGCAAAACAGAACTAAAGCTCTCTCATAAGCTTCCAAAAAGCCGTCATGGTTTGGTCATTCTGATCGTTCCCTAAAAGATTTCACTTGAAAGGCTGACTGTGTTTGACCTGACTTGAAACTTTTATAGTGTAAAAATCCTTCTCCCTAGGGGATATTTGTGGAAAACAATATAGAGACAAGTGTTTTAACTTTTCAGATGTCTGAGATGATGGATTAAATTTAGAGTAAACAATAGACTAATCAAAAAACTTTAAAAAACAAGCTCACAGGAACTTTGAAAAGTTCTGACATATTCCTAGAAACTAGAGAGCCACATACATATCCAGGGCTGTACACATATTAAGAAAGAAATTGAAGGGGTCCTAAGCTCTCACTTCTGGTTGGCCTTGAGGCTCTGCACAAGCAGAAAGTGGAGGTTAAGGCAGAGTTGTCAATTGCCTGGCTTAGTATTCAAAGCATGCCTCAATATACATGCTCCTCAATGCAGACTGGGAGGTTTATTGGTTCCAGATGTTTAAGGAAATCTCTGTTTAATAACTGGCTGACCACTAAGCTGAGTAGAAATTTCAGTGGCCACAAACAACTAAGAATACATATTTTACAAAATTAGTTCTGAAAAGTCACTAAATAAACAACAACTTCAACAATTAACAAGAAGAACAAACCATGGGGAAAGAAGGAATCTGATTGACAGAGTAGTCTTATTAAATTATTTGCAATGCTGAGTTTTTAACAAGAACAACAAAAAGTAAAAGATATGCAAAGAAAAAAGAAACCTGGCCCATACTCAAGAAAAATGTAATAGAAACTGTCCCTGATGAATCCCAGAATTGCTGTCAAACTAATGTCAGTTGAACTTAAATCAGCTATTTAAAATATTTTCAGGAGGGAAAGGAAATCATGTCTAAATAATTAAATGAAAACATTAGAATGATGGCTCACCAAATACTGAAAGTCAATAAAGAGGTAGAATCATAAAATAATGAACCAATTATAAATTTTAAGAGTACAATAACTGAAATGAAAAAAATAGCAAATTTGAACAGACAGAAGAAAGAATTAGCAAACTTGAAAGTAGATCAGTGAAGAATATCCAGTCTGAGGAATGGAAGGAAAAAAAATTATGGTATCAGAGATTTGTGGAGCACTATCAAGAGTGCCAACATATGCATAATGGGAGTCTTAGAAGGAGAAAAGAAAGAATGGGGCAAAATAAATATTTGAAGACATTATGACCAAAAACTTCCCAAATTTAATGAAAAACATTAATCCAAAAAGCTCGACAGATCCAAGTAGGATAAACTTAAATAGATCCAGACAATGAAATGAAACTGTCAAAAGACAAAGACAAAACGAGAATCTTGACAGTGGCAAAAGACAATGACTCATGACATACGAACGTTTCTCAATAAGATTAACTGCTGATTTCTCATACAAAACCATGAAGGTCAGAAGGCAGAGGGATGATATACTCAGAGTGTTTCTAAAAGAAAGACTGCCAACCAAGAATTCTATATTCGGAAATACTATCCTTTAAAATGAAGAGGAAATTAAGACATACCCCCAAACAACTATATACCAACAAATTAGAGAAACTTGATGAAATGGAAAAATCTCTAGTCAGGCGCAAGCTACTAAAACTGACTCAAAAAGAAATAAGAAACCTAAGTAGACCTCTAAGAAGCAACGAGATTAAATTAACATGAATTTAACTAACGCCACACCTTTAAAAACTCTTCCAAAAACAGAAGAGGAAGAAACACTTTCTATTTTATTCTCTAAGGTCAGTATTACTCTAATTCCAAAACCAGACCAAAAAAAAAAAAAAAAAAAGAAAGAAAGAAAGAACAAAAGAAACTACAGAAAAATATTCCTTATGAATAGAGATACAGAATCCTCAACAAAATACCAGTGGAAAAGATCCAATAGCACAAAGGTCGTGGGCTAAGTTGTGACATAGGAATTCCTACCACTCATTTTCCTCTGTCAGAAACATCAATTTGAACCACTATACATGCATAAAAATACCTTCATAACAGCTAAAGATTTAAGTGAGGGATTTCAGGATTGGAGTAAAGCACAGAAATAAGAAAAGGCACATTAAGGAGGGTAGGAAGAAAGCCTTGAAGACAAATATTACACCCAATGGCAACAGACTACCACTTTTCTCAAGTGCATAAAGAATATTCTTCAGGATGGATCATATGTTAAGTCAGAAAACAAGCCTTGAAAAATGTAAGAAGATTTAAATCATACCAAGTGCCTTTTCAACTAAAATGGTAAGAAACTAGAAATCAATAACAGGAAAAAAAACCCTGAAAATTCATAAATGTGTGGAAATTAAATAGCACACTTCTGAACAACTAATGGGTTAAAGAGGAAATCAAAAGGAAAATAAAAAAGTATCTTGAAATAATGGAAATGGAAAGACAAAATACCAAAACTTATGGGATGCAATAAAAGCAATTCTAGGAGGCAGGTTTGTAGCAATAGATGCCATAAAAAAATTAAGAAAGAAGAAAGATGACAAGTAAACAACCTAACTTTATTTCTCAAGAAAGTAGAAAAAAGGAGCAAATTAAGCCCAAAGTTTGCAGAAGGAGGAAAACAGCAAAGATCATAACAGAAATAAATGAGATGAAGACTAGAAAATATCAATAAAATAAGAGCTCTCGCTTTGAAAAGATAGACAACACTGAAACCTTAAACTATATTAAGGGAAAAAAACAGATAAGATTCAAATAAATTAAATCAGAAATGAAAAAAGAGACATAACAACTGACACAACAGAAATACAAAGGATCATCAGAGACTACTATGCCAACAAATTGGATAACCTAGAAGAAATAGATAAATTCTTAGACAGTCTCTTCAACAAATGATGCTAGGAAAATTGGACAGCCACATGAAGAAGTGTGAAAGTTGACCATATCTTACACCATACACAAAGATAAACTCAAAATGGATGAAAGACCCAAATGTGAGAAAGGAATCCATCAAAATCCTAGAGGAGAATATAGGTAGCAACATCCCCTTTGACCTCAGCTGCAGCAACTTCTTGCTAGACATGTCTCCAAAGGCAAGGGAAACAAAAGCAACAATGAACTATGGGGATTTTATCAAGATAAAAAGCTTTTGCACAGCAGAGGAAACAGTCAACAAAATCAAAAGACAACCTATGGAATGGTAGAAGATATTTGCAAATGTATTATGAGGGCTAGTGTCCAAAATCTATACTGAAATTGTCATGGACCCCAACGTCACCAGAAGGGAGGCGGGTGGAGGGATGGGGTAAGCAGGTGATGGATATTAAGGAGGGCGCATGTGGTGACGAGCAGTGGGTGTTATATGCAACTAATAAATCTTTGAACACTACATCAAAAACTAATGATGTACTACATGCTGACTAACTGAACATAATAATAAAAAAACAGAAAAAAATTATCATTAACACCACCCCCCAAAAATAATCCAGTCGAGAAATAGGCAGAAGACATGAGCAGACATTTCTCCAAAGAAGACATACAAATGGCCAACAGACACATGAAAAAATGCTCAACATTACTCAGCATCAGGGAAATACAAATCGAAACCACAATGAGAGCACCTCATGGGGGTCAGAATGGTTAAAATGAACAACCCAGGAAACAACAGGTGGTGGTAAGGATGCAGAGAAAGGGGGAACCCTCTTACACTGTTGTTGGGAATGCAAACTGGTATCGACACTCTACTGAACAACATGGAAATCCTCAAAAAGTTAAAAATAGAGCTACCCTATGACCCAGCAATTGCACTCCTGGGTATTTATCCAAAGGACACAAGCATAGTGATTTGAAGGAACACATGCACCTTAATGTTTATAGCAGCAATGTCCAGAACAGCCAAAATATGGAAAAAACAGATATGTCCATCAACAGATGAATGGATAAAGAAGATGTGAATACACACACACACACACACACACACACACACACACACACACACACTGTGGATTACTCAGCCATCCAAAAGAATGAAATCTTACCATTTGCAACAATGTGAATGAAC